TGAGAGAGAGTGACTGGCCCAAAGTCACCCAGCTGGCTTTCATGCCTAAGGGAGGCCTAGAACTCACAGTCTCCTGGTTTCTAGCCCACCACCTTAACCACTATGCCAAACTGGCTCTTTATTTAAAACTTTATTTAGATTAACGTATGAATTTTGACTACAGGCTCAAACCATTTCCTCCAAAGGCGTGATATTCCTGTTAATGAAGTCATACATGAAGCATGAGCGTTGGATATTCAGTTGTGAAAAAAGATAGTTGTGATGCTTGGAAGCATGGCTTTTTGTCCAATTTAGCTTCATTTGTACAAAAAAAGAAATAATTACAGAAGCATCACTATACTTTCTCAAATACTTACGTAGTCCATACCTGTTTAATGTTTTTTTTCTATTCCTGAATGCATACATAGCCTTTCATTAAATAGGGAGGGGTTGAATGAATAACAAGTATTACTAACACTCTTGAACTACTTAAACACCTTGTTTCCAGTCCAAATTGTTTACTATGCATATTTTTAGGGTGGATCATTATATAGCTGTTGGAAATAAGTCTCTGGAAAGGTATGCTTGCATAGTGTTGCCATTGTAATGTTTATTTGGGAAAGCATAGAAGTACTATGTTATCTAAAAGAACACTACCAACATGCACTGTTGTATGATGACAGTTTAATTCCTTGCTGCTATTATTTGGAGTTTTGCAGCATCAGTCCAATAGCCCTAGTGTGGGCCTACGTGACCCAGAAGGTTGGGTTCAGTGAGTAAAGTTAATCATGGGTACATATATTATGCAAACATAGCCCACATTTTGTTCAGTCTTGGATAGACTACTTAATAAGATATCAATTTAATGCATATTTACTCAGAAAGAAATCCCACTGTGTCAGTGGGATTAACTTTGAAGTGATTACATAGTATAGTAGCTTTGCTCTACCATTACTTTACAATATTTAGATTGATGATTACAGTAGATTCAAATAAGGTAATATCTCTGGCTCAGATATTAAGTTGCTACCCAAGACTTTAAGAATCCCTCTTTATCTCTTTAATAGTTTCAAATGAATTCAGGCATGTTCATTGTTCACTGGATGTTTAAATAAGGATATTTTTTGGAAACTGAAATTGACTTGTCCAAATTCATGGAAGTTGGATGGAAAGTGCTGAGACTAGGGCTGCTCCTAGAAGTACAGGTAGTAGGAAGATTTATGTCTGAATGAGCTTAAAATTACTTGTTTCATTTCTCTTTCAGGACACAGGTGTGGGAAAATCAAGCATTGTATGGCGCTTTGTAGAAGACAGCTTTGATCCGAACATCAATCCAACTATTGGGTAAGTATCTAAAACAATTAATGAGCAAGGAAGCTAAAAATTATATAAAGTGTGAGGTTTTTTTTTTCCATGATTTTTATTAAAGATGTTAGTTATAATAATAAGAGCAAATATAAACTAAACTCAGAAAAAGGAGAAATAGAAGGAATAGAAAGTGCTAAGTAAGAACAAGAAAAAAGAAGAAAGATAAAGAAATATATAAAGAAGTGACTTCCAATCTTCATCACGAGTAAAAACAAATTTGATAACTCTTCACCCCCACAAGGTTACAAACAAAGATCTCTTCTTCCCATAACCCATTCCTTATCTATATGCAAATTCATAAATCATTGACTTTTCAGTCCTGGTGTCCATAAAGGGTTACCAGAGTTTTATATAAACATGTCTTATTTTAACATTGATCAAACAAACCAACTTTATATTCCTTCTGACAGTCTTGATTTTTGCTTCATTCAGATGTTGTTGTAGGATTTGGTCTCTCTTCAATATTTCTTTTTCCCATCTCAGAGACTTCTTCAAGACTTTAGCAAGCCTCTTTTGTAAAGCCAGTAAAAAGTAATTGTCCAGATCATTCTCTTGGTCTGTCATTTGTATTTCCTCTTTGATTTTCAAAACTGTAACCAACTTCTTTTGTATATCCAATAAAAAGACATTATCAGGGTCATCCTCTTGGCTTGTCATTTGTAATTCCATTTTAAGTCCCTTATCTATTTTGTAATGCACACTTTTTTTTTATTAATCAGTGTTTCTGGTTCTGGTATTTCTGCATCAGATTTAACATCTTTTGGACATAATCTATCCATAGAAGTAGACATCATTGCTGACATTTCTGATATTGCAGCTACTGATGTCTGGCCCCATTCTTCGAAAATCTCCTGAAGTATTTCAAATGTTATAGCATTTTGTGTCATTTATAAATCCCCATACTAACCGAAAACCAAAGCAAGTTTAAACTTTTTTTCCCCTTTTCTGCCTGGAATCTTTAGTCCCCTTTAGTGTCCAATTTCTCAAATAATAAACTCTCATTTTTATTGTGAAAAAGCATATAATTAACTGGAAGATAGAACCAAAAAAAACAAAGGGCTCAACCACAATCCTAGACCAAAACACAGGAGAACAACCAGGTCTTTAACAATTTGCAGAAAGTCAACATGGTGGAAACAGTACAGATCTCTGAATGGAGTGGGGATATCATTCCCCGGGGCAGAAGCCATCACCAAGAAGGCATGCTCCTGGGATGCCACAAGGTGACATTGCTTAATTGATGGGACCTGGAGCATGCCCACTCTCACTGATCCCACCAGATGCATGGAAACATATAGATAGGTGGTCCTTCAAGTAGCCAGGCCCTATGGCAATAAGGGCTCTATAGGTGATAACCAGAACCTTGAATGGCACCTAGAAGCCAACTGATAGCCAGTTTACCTTTCAAAGCAGCAGAGACATCATTGCTCATGCTACTGCATTCTTGCACAGATGAACCTGTGCAAAGGCCCTCTCAGCCACAGCTGCCACCTGCTCTTTGTGCAAGAGCTGTGAGTCCAAGAGGATCCTCAGATTCTGCAGTAGTCTCTCATGGGGAATTGCAATATAGTTAAATGGAATGTCCCCAGAACCAGGGGGGAGAGGGGAGGGTGTGTTAAAGTCACTTGATTTGTCAGGATTGAATCTGAGTCTATTCCATCCAGGTCTACACAGACTCCAGGTACTAGATCAGGACAGCATAACCTGGTTGAGCCAGGATTGAATTTTGTAATTGGGTATCATCAGCATATTGACCTCACCCACCGGTTTCATGTAGATGTTAATCAAAAAAGGAGAGAAAGTCAAGCCCTATGGCACCCCACAAGTGAGAGGCTGTGAGTGCAACCTCTCACTCCCTGTCAGCACTGAATGAAACTGGCCAGGTTACACTGGAACCAGCAGTCCTGCAGAACAACCAATCAATTATCTATCTTTAAATAATAATAAAAGGTTTGAATGGTGGCAGTGCAACTTAAATGGAGCTGACCTTTTAGATCTATTCCAATTTGGGCTTGGGACACAAACAGATTATGGTTACCTCAGTAAATGATATGTAACCGAAAGGTATACATTGGTTAATTGGGCTTTCAGTATTAATCCATATTATCTGTTATCACATTCTTCTGGGACATTTTGTTGATATAAGATTTGAGGGCTGCCTTTGAAAAATGTAGAGAATACAAAATAATACAAAATATGTCAGCCAGACTGTTATCTAGTATGTGCTTAGAGATCATGTATCATTGCTCTGCAGAACCCCCATCTTCTATATAAGCCATTTAAAGGTGTTTAATATTTGTACAAGCTAGGTTTCTCAGAATTCAGTAACCACAATTGTCCATAAATTTGATTCCTACAATAGAAATATATTTCTATTTTAAGAATGGTATAGGCAAGTATGCATCTGTTGACATCCTGCCCTACTAATGCATCTACTCAGTGTCTAATTGCTTACCGTCTTATAGAATCCTGCTTATGATTGATCACTTGATCTACAATGATCTTAAGTTTATTCCTAATCTTAAAATATAAGGTTCAAACAGCAAACTTTGTGGGGTTGCCTAATTTTCATAGGTAACTACTAAATACATTAAATAGGGCCAGATTATTTGCTGGACCACCTATCTCCTGTTGTTTCTACCTATCCCATGAGACCCAAGAGAGGTGGACATGGTGCAGGTCCCTTCTATGAAACAATGTCACTTAGTAGAACCCAGAATGCAGGCCTTCTCTGTCATTATGCCTGCCCTTTGGAAGAAAAAAGCCCCCCCCCCCCCCGCCAAGAGTAAGACGGCTCCAACCTTGTTGGGTTTCCATAAGGCCCTGAAAACCTGGATTATCCTCCAAGCATTGGGACAGAGCATTGAATGACCCCATCCTGAATGTTAATATGATTATGGTTTGGCCTTGGTTGTGTTACATTGTGTTGCACTTCTTGTGGTTTTATGTTTATTGGTTATTTTGTTTTGTGTTTTTAATTCTATGTGAGTCACCCTGTGTTGAAATTCGCTATTTGACCAGCCATAAAAATCATTTCAATAAACCAAACTGAGTATTTATTAAACCATATTTTGAGAGGAGTACAGAAAATTATTTTGGAAAATAGATTGCTGTATGCAAAATAAAAACTTAATGGCTTTTTCCATTACCTTACAAGTATTGCGGGGGAGATCGGCAGCATACAAATTTAATAAATAAAATAAATAAATTGCCATAAAAGGATTTCAGAAAGTTTTAAATTTGGATCCTACATAATGTCAGTTTTATTGTTTAATTTCATTTTGTTTAAAGTAGAATGCTAATTTTAACATAATGTAATAGTTGGAATACTTCTGTTTTTCTTGGAAACATCCTGTACTTTAGTGCCATTGATGTAAGATGGGTTTCCATTTCATAGCTTATATGAAGGCTTAGAGGCTTCCTGTATGGTCAACCACAAATGCCCAATTCTCCAGTACCCACCCCCATCTCATCTCACTTCCACACTTAGTCACAGTACACATAGATACATGAAGAATCTGAATTCTGTAGAATTCAGTATTTATTTTTAACATGCTTTCAAAAATCCATATAGCTAGCTTTTATCATTTTTTTTCAAATGCCTTCTAAACAATAGACAATCCTGCACATTTATTCTCCTTGAGTTGAAGACATCGGAGACTTTGACAACTGAGGTTAGAGATTTTTTCCTTCCAAACTCATATCAGTTCATACATCATGAATTTAGTTCAACATATGAAATTTTGTCACTTAGTAATTCTGCAATTGAAACCAGCTAATGGTACAATTGAAGCTATTATTCCTGACTCTTAGGATGATTGCCCACATTTTAATAATGCAAAGAAACAATCTTTCATTTCACAAAACATATCCAAGAATAACCATATTGTTCTGATTAACGATACGCAAAACTATTTCCATGTTTAGGGTTTTTAATGTTGCTATTTGCTAAAGAACATAAAAAGATAGAAAAGAAACATATGAATATTTATTGCTCATAGACTATTTAAATAGTCTTAACTACATATATTATACTATGGAATTAATTGTTGAGTTAAATCAGTTCATTTAACTCTAAAAGAAAAAAAACAGGTGAACATTTTAACACAGAGAGTAGTAATGACAAAATTATTCAATAGTCCTCCACTCTAGACTCCAAATAATTGAATGCTTGCTCAAATATGCAATGAGAAGCAATTCAAACCATTACATAATTGGTAGAGAGTGGGAGTCCTTCCATTCTTATAATATAAATTGCAAAATTAAAAGTATGCAGTATCAATTTATTTTGCCCTCTTGTTCCAGTTTTAGTTTTGTGTTACTGTAGTTTATTTATTTATTATTTATTTATTATTTATTGAATTTCTCTCCCGCCCATCTCCCCTACAATAGTTGCATGAGTATGACTGTACTGAAGTTTTGATTGGGTAATGTTTGTCTCTTACATAATAAATTGAGATCTTTCTGTTTTACTAAATAAAGCATGTGGACGTATTGTGTCTTTGGCTTAATACGCCCGGTAGGAATTGAAATGGAGTAAATAGAGGGGCTCTTAGGAAAATGAATATGCCTCAGTTCCTTATGCCTAATTTTAGCAAAATCTTGCCCCATATAGCTTTTTGTAGTAATCAATAAAGAAAATAAAGGAGCCAGCCCACCAACTTATTTTGTAATATAAACACTAATGAAGCACCTGGAACTTTGTGTATTTCCTTCCCTATTTATGATCTGTTATGAACACAGAATAGAATGTGATGGCATCAATAAATTTTAGTTGTTCAAAGTATTTTTCTCATCTCGCTACATGCTCTCCTTACTTCTAGATAAAGAAAGCATGAAATATACAAATTTTCCCTCCCATTTTTAAAATTATAAAATTAATCAGAACCCTAATATTTTTTGGGGAAATATGTTGAATTTTAGTTGATGGTTTCCTTTGTTTTATAGTATATTAATGCATAACATTCTTTTCAGAGCATCTTTTATGACCAAGACAGTACAGTATCAGAATGAATTACATAAATTCCTAATATGGGATACAGCAGGACAAGAACGAGTAAGTAGATAAACCATTTTTTAAATTGGGTTTGATGAAATCTTTCTCTGTGACCTACTTATAGATAACTATGTCCTTATCGTAAGGGATTTTTATAAAGCTCTTCTTAATTGGAAGGAGTCACTGAGATGTGGAGATTTTCTTATTAGGGAATTTCAGAATCATTGTCCTTGTTCTGTGAAATGGTACACTGAGATAAAGGATAGATAAGTGCCTTTGTGGATATATTATATCCCAGCTAAATTTACTATACAATACTTTTTAATGAAATTTGAGAAATAGCCTTATTCTAATATGCCCATGAATTAAGAGAAAATGAAATGATGAATCTGAAAACAATCTGAATGCATAGAAGATTCATAGGAAAAAATGATATCCTTACAATTAAATGTATACAATAATAATCATTCTATGGTGAATGGACCCACGCTAGACTTTATGCATTCTGAACCAGTTGCCCTTTGTATTTCAGTAAGTTTAATGAAGCTTTGATGATAAGACAGCTTGGGAGTGGTATAGGATGTGAGTGTAGACTCACGGCAGAAGAATGATTACTTTTCCTCCTAAAACTTCTATTTGTAAAATCATTAGAATTTTCACTTCCCTATTCTTGGAAATGTTAATGATTTCAAGTAAGTTGAATTAACACTTGCCAGTAAAGGACAGGCACAAAATCTCAGCCTTACCCCCTTGGTGATCTAATTATACCTGTCAGAAAAATATTAAAAAATGAAGCTTCCATTTACAGAAAGATTGCTCACTTCTGCCTTAAATGATGCCTTGCTCAAGGCAGCTTTTTTTCTGTGCTTCATTAGTATTTGCCCACTTAGGGCTTTTCCTTCCCATTTATGGATCTAAACCTGTGCCTTTCTTGGAAGCTGCATATAAAGCTATTCAAAGCATTTGAAGAGGCACTTCACAAATCTTGCTGGCTCCTTTTGAATATACAGCTGCTTCAGGGCCTTTCCCTGGTCATCTGCATATGCCTACGTAGACAGTGCTTCCACTGGGGCTGCCAGCAAAGCAACTGTGCACTTTGGGTAACCCCTCACTACAGGCAGATCCAGCCTTCTGGAGGACAGCATCACATCAACATTTTGAGGAAAGATACTTTGCTTGTACCCACACTTTAAGAAGTGTCCCTTTGAGGGTTTTACACAGCCATAGTATATAGTTGTCACTGCTTGGTATGTCCTCCATTTTATTTTTGCGTTTTCTCATGAATCCTTTCCACATAGGGAATTTAATAAACAACTAAATAATCACCTGCCCCTAAAATTTTGGAGTGTCCTTGCCTCTAAGCTTACTAGATGTTTTGTGATTTTGAACTATGAAACACTGGGTAGAAATACAGCTTTCTGCATAAGACTAGTAACTAATTGTCTCAGCATTCTTACTAATCTTCAGGTTTGTTTTTGAATAATAGAATAACTTTTAGAATTCATTTTCTTTAAATCTGTCTGTATGTAGCTGATTTAGCAGTACTTAAAGAAAAGAGGATCTTCTATTTTTACTTCTGAATAAAACTTGCAGTTCTTGCAACAGAAATAGCATGATATATTGTCAGCTTTGTGACTCAGAATTGTGGTCTTCTCCCCTTTTGTAGCAACTATAGAAAGGGTCATTTTAAACAGCAGGCATGGTATGACTAAGGATGAAAAACATCCAGGTTCAGCTCCCCACTCAGCTGTAAAGCTAGTTGCTTTGAGAAATTATTTGCATTGATTTTCTTGGGTAGTATGGCACAATCAGGAACAAAACTATATCCTAACAAGCAACTAATGTACCAGTCAGCTGCTTCAGTTGCTCACTAGATTTAATCAGGATTGAAATTTACATTCAGTTATGATATCTTTTTTCTCTCATTGCATCATCTAGTTAAATAATGCATTCTAGAGCTTATTTGGCTGAAGTTTTAAATTGCTCAGAGCGCAAGTGGAAGCAAACTTTTTTCTATGTCTTATATAGTATGATATGGCATTTTTGTATTTCTGGGTGCTTTATGTATATATCTTCCATCTAGCAATTATATGGATACATCATAAATGGATTCATCATATATCTTCATATTCTACCAAAATGCCTATTAGCATACTGAACACTATATGCAGTCTTGTTTTAGACATGGAAAATAGATTTTGGCAACATTTTTATTGCTTTGTTTAAAAAAGAAACAAAGAACAAAAACATATTCTGTATAACAGAATATTGCAATTGAAACAAAAGTGTAATCTGCACAGTCTCCTTGCACCTTCCTCAGTTTATGAAAGCTGGCTAAAACATCTCCTATAGAGCATCAAGATGTTTTGTATTGGTTAAAGGGTTAGAGTGCTCTAGGAACACATATATGAACTGTGAAGCTTGCTAAGCGATCAGGGCCAATCACTTTCTCTTTGACCAAATTGCTTCTCAGAATTGTTATACCTAGGTTCTCTTTTAGTTGTATTACTAGTTTATTAGGAGGAAATATGAGATAAAACTCTGATAGATGACAAGGGTGTCTTATAATGAATTTTATTTTATCTGTCTTACTCATATTTCATTCCCTTTTTCTTTAATATTTGATATGATTAATATGGCAGAGAAGCCATTTTTATGTGCTCTTTCTCTTTACAGTTCCGTGCTCTGGCTCCAATGTACTATCGCGGGTCTGCAGCAGCTATTATAGTCTATGATATTACAAAAGAGGTAAACTAAATACATTTGCAAAATCTATAGATTGGCTATTTTATTTAATTTACTGATCTTGTTGCTTCCATTTTAGGAAACATTTTCAACATTAAAAAACTGGGTAAAAGAACTTCGCCAGCATGGACCTCCCAATATTGTTGTAGCAATTGCTGGAAATAAGTGTGATCTTAATGATGTAAGGTAAATTAAATAGGATCTTATCCAGCTGTCAATAGCATTTTAATACAAATCTGCCTGTACAATCTTTTTCTGTACTTAGTTTCCAAAAAAACATGGATATTCTAATCCTTCATTAATTTTAATGTATTGAAGAAGAGGCAGGAAATAATTAGACTCTCAAAACAAATTTTATTATGTTTTTAATATTCATGGCAGTAATTTACTTTCATTTTAATTACCATTCACTATTTTAATCAGCCGATTGAATAGAAAGTTGGGTTATGTGTTAAATAACAAAGAATGAAAAGGATGCAGTATAATTTGTGAAAAATAAGTATGGAAAGAATCCTGCATTGGATTGAATCCTGTTGGGAAAGGGAGAGAACAGAGCACAGCTCCTGAGCTCCTAGATAACTAGTTGGGTGGAAGGCAGGATGCCAGGAAACAAAAGTAGGAAGTAATGGAATTGAGCTTCATTTAAATATCTAATTGCCATCCATCCTTTCCTGGACATACATTAGAAAAAAATTACTGTCTTTTAAATAGCAATAAATCATTGTGGAATCAAAACACCCCTTTTGTTGCTTTATTGTACCTATTATATTGAACCACTAATGTTACAGCAGTATAGAGAGATGTCCTCCCACTACACATAGTGTTAAACAAAAACTTTGGTTATGTCTCTCAGATACAATGACTTACAGAGTTTAGATTAGTTGTAGAAATAACTGATAATGCTGCATTGATTTGCAATTCGTTTTATTTGCTAAACTCAAAGTAAATAATTATTGTTTGTTTATACTATGTATTCTCTTCCCTCCCACCCTACAGAGAAGTTATCGAAAAAGATGCTAAAGACTATGCAGATTCCATCCACGCAATATTTGTAGAGACTAGTGCAAAAAATGCAATAAACATAAATGAACTGTTTATAGAAATAAGTAAGTATTAAATGTCAGTAAATCGCCTAATATTTCTCTTCTTGCATTCCTAGCTAATAACAAAAAAATTATATTAGCTTCATGTTCTGCTTCTACCAGCTGAACACTGTCTTTATATTTAGCAACATTTGATTAGGACAGAAGTTAACTTGATCTTCCAAATCATATCCTGGCAGAAGAGTAAGAAAAGTACTGTCATTAAAATTTTTCATCCTGTGAAATGTCTTAAATTTGCTAACAGATATGTAATGGGTTCATTTCATATCATGTGAAGGAGAGCCCGTGGATTATACAGCAAGCATTAGAGTTGTGCAAAATATTCAAAACCAGTACTTCGTTGAAATGTGTTGATGTCAGAGAAACACCACTCCTCAAAGTATTAAGTAACCACATTTGTTCTTGTTCCCAAGGTTCTGTGGTGTTGTGGTAAGAAAACTAATGCCACTTCCCTTCTGGGAACAGTATTTAAACATGGAGGTTTCATTATCAGATTAATTTTTTTATTTACTACATTTTATATGCAACTTTAAATCAAAATGTTCCTATAAATATGTTTAAGCATCATTTTAAATGTCTAAGCTATCCAATATCATATATTTTTGGTGGTATATTTTATGATAGTTTGGTACTGTCCAAATTTTTTTTTTCCCCAGCATATTACCAGTTCATTATATAAGATAACCTTTGGTTCCATGGATATATGTGATAATATTTCCTATCACTACCATTAATGTTACGGAATTAAGCTGATAAGACTCTGGCAATTCTGGGTGGTACTTTTATTTAATTAAATAATCTTGAAGTGCTAATTTTATAGGTGAGTTTTTTCCAAGTAAAAGTGGGATTGTTAATCATTAAACATTCACTTTGTAAGATGAATTCCAAGCAGTTTGAATAATTTATTAGATAATTTACCAGTACTTTTGGTTTAATTCAAGAAACACATAATCCTAGTATTTGGAAGTTTTTAATATTTTTATTATAATTTTACAATACAATAAAAGTATAAAAAATGAAAAGAAAAATAAGAAAAAAGATAGGAAATAAGAAAAAAGTAAAGAAGTGAAAAAAAGAAAACATAGAATTTTGACTTCTGTCCTTCTCTCAAGTCATTGCTGTCTTACTCTTTTCCCTCCCTCTTTAACCCTTTCTAATCCCCAAATCATCAGTCTTTTCTTCTTTCACCAAAAAATGCATATAAGGCTTCCAGTCTTTGAAAAAAAGTCTTTATCATTTTTCCCCTGACCTGTAATCCTATTAGTTGAAGAAACGTTAGCTGTACTTCTGAGCCGCTGCAGAATCTTGCTGCAGCATTGGCCATTTTTATCTGTAGGCCTGTGTCTGTTTTAATGGATGCCTTTGAGAAGACCTTTCTGTTTTTATGTATTATCAAAATTACGAATGTCTTGTAATCCAGCTAGACTCTAGGAAGGAGTATTTATTTATTTATTATATTTGTATAGCCAACCATCTTACTTATAGTTCTAATTATTCTAATAATACTCTTTTTCCTCCCTCTGCAGGTCGTAGAATTCCATCAACAGACGCCAACCCTCCATCTAGTGGTAAGGGCTTCAAACTTAGGAGACAGCCTTCTGTGACAAAACGCAGCTGTTGTTGATACTGCGACCACCAAGCTAGCTTTTATAAAGTATTTGGCCTTAGACATTAAGGGTTTATTTTCAGTATCTCTTACTGGTATTGGATTCTGATCTCTCTGATATTCGAAGACCCCAAAATGGACCATTTCTGGCATACTAACATACATTCTGGGAGGGTCTGCATTGATCATACTATCAGACTGTTTCCATGTATGCAGTGTACAGACTATCTCTTACAGTCAAAGGGAATCACCTTTCATTTCTGTTTCAACCTTTGAAGAGGAGAATCCAATGTACAGATTATAAGCCTTGTTATTTCATAGTTTTGTAGAAAAACATTGCCATGCTTTTGTAAAGGGGGGGAGGGAAACTAGCACTTTTTATGGATTTTGGAGGGAGTGGGCAAGCCCTATGGAAAGATAAGTTAGTCCTCATTTTAGTGCCATTCTGCACTCCTTGTTGCTGTTCCTATAAGCCTTACTGTTTTCATTGTTGCTTCTCCAAAGGCAGAAAGAACAGATGATTGATAAATGGCTACCAGAATAATGATGCTGATAAGAGTGACCAAATCAGCCCATTCAGTCCCCAATCTTAAATTGCACTTTTTTATTTTCTGATAATATTATAGAAATACAAATAAGATGTTTGCTTTTAAGCAAAAAAAAAAGTAGGGAAAGCGTAGCCGTAGACAATCTTAGCTCATTATGTATAATTATTTTATAGTTAAATAGACATAGACTCTTCTTAACAGACTTCCAATTAAGATACTAGTAAGGAGCTTAGATGAAATGGATGAAAATAATTTGACCACAACTGACAGGTATCAGTTGCTGTCAGTAGCCTGTAGAGCAAGCATGTTAGTTAGGTGGGAAATGTTTTTAATTGCTTAGCATAAAGCATTTTTATACTTATTTATGAACCCAGTATCTGAAGTAATATAAATTATGAAAGTACCATTGCTAAAGGTCAGGTTCTTGTTTATCTCCCTCTCTCATCCATGAGGCGGATTGTGAAAGAAAGTCCTACAAACAATTGCTGGGAATCCCAGCCTAAGAGCATGAGGCCTTCAGTCAGTTGGCATCCTCTAGTATAATACTGGAAAACATTTCCTTCACTATCCAGTAGAGGTTGCTGCTAGTGTACTTTGAGGCTTTCTTCTGGAACAAATCACTTTACAGAATAATCCAGAAATGGAATTCAGAGCTGTCTGGGGCAGTGTTGATGGGTGCTTCCATACGGTTGAACTCATCCTGAAGACTAACTCTTTTTAGAGCCTGCTTTTAAACAGACTAGTTCTTAGCTTTGGTTGTGCTTTTCATTTATTTTAAACTATAAAGTAATCTTGCCCCATCATATTATTTCTCATTATTTATTTCTGTTGCAAACTGTCAGAGCAAACATGTACATGTTTTTCCTCTTTAGAATATAAGCAGGTAAACTCACAGTGTGTAAAGGAAGCTATAAGGCTTTGATATTTCCTGTTCACAGAACATGTCAGTGGTGGCTTGCTTTTAATTCACTGCTTAAAAGGGAATTTCAAAGGTTGCATTGGAAATAAAGAGTTTAGGCTTTTACATCCTATACCATATAATTCAGCATTACCCTTAGTACAAGGAAATTATTACAGTTAACCAATGCAATTGGAATTATTGAGTCAGAATAAACTTAAGCCCAGCTCTTCTCTAAAGAGTTCAAAGTTCTAATTTTACAGTATGTTGTCATATGTTACATCAGAAGTCTCTCTGAAAAGAAAAAGCAAATTGTGGAGTATTTGGCACTCCTTCTAGCCAAACTATGAATCTGTGTATTAATAATGTATTGTGCATTCCATATCTTGGCTAGTTTATGTCATTAGTTTGCTCTAAGTTTTGATTTCAAGAATCAGCTGAAGATATTTATGTAACCTAGTCCAAAAAGCCATATGCTGGCAAAAAGTATTTAGAATTATAGCCTGGAGAGGTTGGCATTACAAGACACCCCAATAGCTTTGATTTTTCAGTGTTTTGTCAAAGATACTATTGTTTGTCCAGCACTGCATATGGAACTGAATGTGTGAAAGAAAGTGTGCCAGGGATGTACTTACTGGGTGTTTTCAAGGCAGTTTGCTCAGCACAGTAAACTGAAGTCAGAATAAGGATCATTTCCAACAGTTTTATTAGGCTTCAGCAAGACCTAGCAGTCGGTTCCTTCTGATGCTAGCATTCTACCATGCCTGAGAAGCTCCCACCAAAATTCTGTGCTGTTTCATAGACCTTTGAAATTTGACTAGGAACTTCCATGGGGTAAGGAAAGCAAAAATCTCTGGTAAACACATATAGGACCTTGAGTGCTTAAAAGGAATTGTTAGATTTAACCTAATATTAGTTAAAAACCCTCTAATGAATTGGAGATGATCAGCAGGCTGCTTCTGTAACTACATATAGATAAATCATTGTCCTCCAGTGCAGCCTTGTATAAATGTAGTATTGGAATGCCAGTGCCTAATACATATGCTTATCCAAACTGATGGTTATTAAAACTTTTTCTTCTTCACATGGCTATTTTCTAATCACTACTCTGTTTCTTGGTGCTACTTTATTTGTTAGTCTAAACAAGTGTTAAAAATAGTAAATGCCATACATAAAGAAAAGAGCGGTCAAGCAGGAAGCTTTTTTTTGGAGAATATCACTCATGTCTGTAGCAGCCAACTTTATCCCTGCACGATAGTAGCACCTTGCCACTATTTATGGCTTTCATAGTTCACTTATGCCATTGTGATATCAGTTAAACTACCTTCTTGCAATTACCTATAATTAGAGAGTTTTTTATTTCACCTTCTCGGCAAACAGAATATTTTAACATACCACCAGTTGCATCTTTTGAAGCTGCTACTATAGTGTTCCCTTGTATTACCATGTGGCTATGCAGAGTGACATTTCAAGTGCAAGCTGTGGCCTTGGCTGTATTTCAAAAACTTCTCTTCCTGTCCTAAGCATCAGGTCCACTGCCAATGTGTTAGTCTGCCTTAGAGTTCATTGGATATACTTAATCAAATATTTGTATTGAGATAATTTAAATCTAAATCCCAGCTGATTACTGGGAAATGGGGGTTGTTTGCAGTACCTCAGTCCTGTCTGCTTATCTCTTCTTGCGCAAATTAATATGAATTTTGAGCTTCAGCATATCTCCTGTAAACATCTGGGAATCTTTAGGTTCCCACTTACTGCAGTTAAATTGTATCACTTGAGTTACTTGTATAGAATAAAACTTCTACCACCCAATCTTGCATTTATCTTAGATCTCCTCCATAGGGTTTTTCCTAGGTGGGGGATATCTGGTGTATATTCTCCTTATGTAGAGTTATAGCATCCACAAAGAAGTCTGGAGTATGTACTCTTGTTTATTGTATGTTGCAATGTATTAGTTTCATGCAGTAGCACAAATCTTGCAAGAATTAATAGAAAGGCATCTGGTAAAATGATCTTGCTCTTGCCACTCAGCATCCAGCTTATTCCAGTATAAACTAAAAGCTGAAGATTAGATTTCAATTAGCTATGGGATACTGAAATGGGGCATATAAATCCATGTGAAACCACATATAATGCAAGCAAATAACTTGCAATAAATAGCCTACTTGACATCTTCTCAAAAGACCAATTAATTTGATGAGACTTATTCCAGGTAAGTGCACATAAGATTGTACATTTGATGTGCATGTACTTTAAATAGTGAGCCCAAAGATTTCTCCCAATATTAATCAAGTATCATTCCACATTTGTAAGAATTATGGTTTGGACACTAAAGTAAAATAACAGTTGGAAATTTATGTGGGGAACTTGCTATTTGGTGATGTATCTAAAATATGCTAGCCACCATACATAAATTTTTAAAAATGTAATGTCTTAATATGTAAAAACCAATGGATGAAGAAAAAATGTAGTTTTTATCTCATTTTAAATAATGATTTAAGAGATAAAGTAGGTATCTCTGCTGAAAATAACCTTTTGGTGGTGTCAGATCTCTATTGCTACAGGCAGGACTAAAAAAGGCAAACAAGCAAGAGAGAGACTGGAGACATTTATTAGAGAAAATAATAAAGGTGACAGTATAAGATTTCTGACCCTTACTTTTGCTTTCAAATGTGAACCCCATATATATACATACATGCGTACGTACGTACGTACGTACGTATGTATGTATGCAGTTCAAAGGAGTTAGCTTCTAGCTTTTTCCTGTACCCTCAGTGAAGAGGAAGGAGGCCTCCTGCTTTGGGGAATGTGTACCAGCTGCTGGCCTCCAGACCACTGTGATGATCTACTCTTGCAGGTAGTTAGATTCTAAAGAGCAAAGGCTGAAAGGAACCTCTTTCATAGTTAAACACAGCATTATCTAGTTATTTAAGTATATGGCAGAGTTACTTTTGAAAGTATATCCAAAATGATAAAACACAGCCATAAGAGTGCCAATGGGAGCCTGAGTCTGTCAGAGATATTCCAAACTCCATCTGTCAAGATTTAGCTTTCAGATTATCATACATACACATACCTTTCAGGCTGCAATCCTATACAGTGGTACCTCTAGTTATGAACTTAATCTGTTCTGTGACTCTGGTTGCAAGTCGAGTTGGTCTCAAGTCGAAGTAAAGTTTCCCATA